ATAAGGCATGAAATTTGCAACCTTTCTTCATAACATAACATTGTTGAAATTTCTGTTAAATCACATGGCACCTAATACAAGGTAGCCTGCAACTCAGCCACAGTTGATGCAATGCAACTTGTGTTTGGTAGCTTGCATATGCAAATGAAGTCGAACAAGTTATCTTGTGTTTGCAAATGTGCATTATCGATAAATAGAGGTTACTGATTGTTCCACAGTTCAAATCTGAGCTGTTGGAACTGAAATAAATTCTCTGGGGGATTATGAAATCTAACGATCTCACATGAGTCACATTAAGACTAATATTTGAGGCACTATAGGTTCTCCCATCTGCCAGGATAATGATGGCGAGACAATCTGGTCCTGAACTTCTCCAGCAAGCAATGGAGGTTGCACTAATTAGAGAATGTCTTTGAGAAGCCCAGACTCAGATAGAAGTCCTAGACTCAAACATGAAGGTGGTCTCTCAGGTTCCAGGTTGGTGACAGTGTGCTCCTGTGAGGTTCACCTACTCACAGACACCATGCTCTGTTGGCCCATTCAAGATCCTTGAGCAGCTAGGACAGCATATAGATTGGTGTTGCCTCCATCACTAGCTACCAGGCTTCATAATTTCCATATGTGGATGAACAATATGTTCACATCCACTCACACCAAGTTTACTGCTCAGCTTTAGGAGAACATGTCACCTGAGGAGAGGCTCATATTCTCTCCAATTATCATTTTACCACCGAGATGGATGACAATCTCTCAAATTACAACTCTTTCTCATTTGACAAATGTCAAGAACACCTTAGAAAACTGTCCCCACTCTTAGGTTCATTGTCATGTCAAAGTTTACCATTTATGATCTTTTCCCTACCATGATACAACAACCACAGCTTGTGATTGCTCCCTACAAAATCCATTTTCTAGTAGAATTACATGTTCACTAAGAAGAAAGGATTTACTATCTGTATATCTACATCACATAGAAAAAGCATAAGATCTCTCTAATGATAATTGTAATTATAATGGTAATGGTTACTTCAATGTTATTGGTAATGGAAATGATAATGGTAATAGTAATACTATTGGTAATGATCATAATATTAATGGTAATAATATTGGTATCGATATTGGTAATGATAGTGATAGGAAATCATGCAAGAAGTCAATACATGCTTGATACCTATAGTTAGGTCCTAATTTATCATTAATCACTTATAAATTAAGATTGACCTACATTTTTGTGCTAATTACATGACACCTGATAAAGAAAAGTAAAAGGCAGTTAAATAACTTCAATTGAAGACAAATTCCAACAGATTTCGAGTTCAAATTCCTGTTTTATCCAAATCAAGAGGTTGGTTTTCACTAATCACCCATTAGAGATTAAACAAGTTTAACGAGAGAATAAGGATGGGAGCAAGTAAAAGAAGGGGGAGGGATACAAGCTCAAAACAACAAGTGTGAATCAAATTTACACCATATTGGTATTAATCGGTAACAATTGAATTTCGATCATATCAGGTACATGAGATGTACTGACCACTGTGCCTCACATTTTCTACATATCGAAACTAGCCTGTAAGTATATACCACGGCATATCATCTATTTCGTGCCTTTTTGGATGATGTGATAGCCCATGATGATAATACTAATAATAATGGGTATTCAAGAATTGTTTGCTCCATAAAGACGGCATCTCATATTTTTGGCCTGTCCTATTCCTTATAGTTTGTTATTTTCACCTAGTGGAGGATTTAAACTTTTTTCTCCGTAAGTACATGCAAAGGATGTTAAACAATTCAAATCTTGTATTCACTATGTTGGGTTAGTATTTTATTGTTGATAATTTCAATTGTACCTTTGGTATCAAAGCCTTTTTTTCTCTCACACCTTGTTCCATAAATATTATGGAGTCCTGAAATCTATTCAATCTTTCCATATCTAAATACGCATCTAAGACTTCTCTCAATGCAACAACAAGAAAAATGAATGACAAAGAATTGAACTGTGGAATAGCAGAATAAGAAGGTGAAGGGATCATACCATGTATAAGGGAGTGAAGGCTACCATTCGGATGGTAATCATACACAAGCAGCCTCTGTTCGTTTGCTCGGAAATAGGCCCGTAAAGGTACCAAATTATGGTGCCGCAGCCTCCCCACTGTGTCCATGTGCTGCTCGAACCCCTCTTGCGCCACTGCCCCCAGCTTCGTCTTATCCAGCCTCTTCACGGTGACAGCCAATCTACTACCCAGCACAGCCTTGTATGTCGGCCCGAGGCTCCCTCTCCCCAGCATTTCGGCCGAAGCTCTCATCAGCTGCTCCAAGTTGTAGACCGGCTCCTCGTCGGCGCAGAACACCAAGCATCCGTTCTTCCCCAGCCTCTTCACCCTCTCCTCCGATATCGCCGTTGCCAGGTCGGCCGCCGCCTCCGGCTCGTTGCTTGTGCTCTCGGTGTCCTCGTTGTGGCTCCCGATGTTAATCTCGGAGATGTTGTGGACGCTGTTCGCCACCGCGTTCTTCTCCGGCGTGTGCGTCTTCCTCTGCTGCTTCTTTCTCTTCTTCCTTATCAGGACCAGTGACGCAGTAAAGATCCCAATTAGTGAAATTGCGCCTATCAAGGACCCAATTGCCGCCACATCCTTCTTGTGGGAGACCCGTGACCGTGAAGGCGAGACGGGAAGCAGCGTTCCCCTATTTGGTCCTGCTGGGACGGTGGGCCAGGGGCCAGTCGGCGAGCTGCCTCCCCAGGGGAAGAAGGTGGACGAGGAGCATTCCCTCCGGACGAGCGCACCGCAGAGACCGGGGTTGTCGGCGAAGACCGAGGAATCGAAGGACGCGAGCACGACGGTGGCGGGGACCGCGCCGGAGAGGTCGTTGTCGGAGACGTTGAAGTTCTTGAGGGACGACTGGTTGAAGGCGGGGAGCGAGCCGTTGAACCGGTTGGCCTCGAGGCGGAGGGTGACGAGGCCGTCGAGCGCGGCGAGCCCCGGGGAAAGGGGGCCGGCGAGGCGGTTGTTGGAGAGGTCGAGCGCCAGTATGCCGCGGAGGGAGAGGAGGGAAGCGGGGAAGGGGCCGGTGAAGAGGTTGCTGCCGAGGTAGAGACCGCGGAGGCCGAGGAGGAGGGAGAGGTCAGCAGGAAGGGGGCCGGCGAGGGAATTATTCTCGAGGCGGAGGACGCGCAGCTGGTCGAGGCGGCCGAGGGTGCCGTTGGCAATGACGCCGTCGAGGCCGTAGGAGGAGAGGAGAAGGCGGTCGACGCGGCCGTCTGGGGAGCAGGAGACGCCGGGCCAGCGGCAGTGGTCGGAAGCGCGCGAGAAAGGGAGGCGGCCGCCGGGGTCGACCGCGGCCTTCAACGCGAGGAGCGCCCGCGCGTCGCCGTCGATCTCGGAAGACGAGGCGCCATCAACGGAAGAAGAGAGTAACAGTAGTAGTAGTAGTAGTAATAGTCGTAAAGCGTGACGATTGAGCTGCTGCTGCTGCCGCTGCCGCGGCATTGAGTTAAGGAGAGACTGGGAAATGATTGCCGGAGAATCCTGCAGGGCGTTTGTGGGGATTGGGAATGATTGCATTCTTTTGGTGGCTCTGCGTCTCTCGTACTGTTTTCTTCGAGCAGAGAAACATATTTTTCTACGGAGAGGAGAAGAAGGGGACAAATGGAGAGAGACCGGCGGAGAGATCATGTAGACACGTGCTGAGGAGAGAGACAGGACGCAGTGGCCGACTCCATACAGCGACTTAAGCGACGAGGAGACGAAAAATTGTGACGATACATTCAAAAAAAAGCGCGTGGGCCCGACTGCTTCGTTGCGCGAATTCTTTGAGTCACGAACGGCGGAATTGACTCGGGGCGCGCAGGGTCGGCAGTAGGTGTGGGGAGTACTTCACGGCGCGACTTGGGTTGCGGATGGATCGAGACGCTAACAAAAGGGTACGAAAATAATAGTAGTGACTAATGAATCCAGAAAGCGCGTGGACACACGACTGAAGTTACGAGATCCAAACGGGTGAAGGGCAGTGAAAAGATGCACGATTCCTCTCACGATTCGAGTTATGAATAGAGTAATATTAAGAAAAACAAAAAGAATCCAACGAACGCGTCACGGCCACACCTCCTGACACGACCTTAGTCACTCAAACGAGGAGAGCTCCTTCACGCCACTAATTTTGACCACGATTTCAAACGGTACAATGATTAAAACAAACATTACGTTATAACGACACATGACGCATTACCTGACGGATTTAATATTCGCAATGTGAGCTCAGCTCACCTAAACATTTGACCCAATAAAATTTGATCTCTATCAGTTTTGGAGAATATAATTATATTGAAATGTATCTTTCATTCATCATCACAAAGTTTTGGTATATATCTTTTAGTATTTAGTTGATATACTATTTTTATTATTTTAGATTGGTGGCTCTCTCAATACAAAATAATTTCAACGTGTTAAGCATCGATAAACGAAAACGAAATTCGAATTCAAGATCTTACGATAATCTATAAAAATCTTTAATATATATAAGATTTTGATTTTACCCTTGTATACATCTATAAATTCTTTGGAGTACATAATCTTCTTAAAATGTATTTTCATTCATCGCCATAAAGTTTCAATATGTATCAAAATTATCGGTACAACTCCATTTTGTTGATATATTATTTTTTTATTTTAGATTGGTAGATATTTTAATATAAAATAATTTTAGTTAAAATAGTGATTGATGGATATCTCAATACAAAACGATTTCAATATGTTATCTATTAATAGATGAAGATAAAATACAAACTCAAGACCATACGATAATCTATAATCTAATCGGTATCTTCGATATGACTCAATATTGTTTGTTCTCGTCGTGTACCTTTGAAGATGCTCATGTGACTCTAATTTCATGGCTAAGAGAGCTGCACATCTGTCATGTTAGCCTTTCAAGAACAACTTCCCTACAAATTATATAACTCATTTCACTGAAGACAAATTCTTACACAATGAACCATATCAGAAACATAAACATCTCTTTTTTGCAGATTAAGAGTGTTAATGGTAACAGCTGCTGTTTATTATATACAAGCAGCTGAAAGTGTTTATATTTTCACTCAACCTGATGTCATTTTCCATAATCACATTTGTCAATGTAATCTAGATTACATCCAAAGGAAGGAACAAGTGGAAATTACACAATCGAAACTTAAACCACACCAAAACTATACTTCAAGCATAGAATCTATGTTCTTGCTTTCGACCAGAATCTGCACTTACAATCCAAAACTCACCAAAGGTATGTCAAACACTTGAATCTGTGTTATATGTGAAGGTTTCAATGATGATACTATGTTAAGCACCCAATGGAAGTGCAAGCTTCTTGAAGCTGCTTCTTTTCCTTCGCAGCAAAAGCTTTCGCAGAAAACTGAGTCCTCCTTGTCTCTTAGGTACAACCATGAGCATGCCTACATCAGGCCCACCTTTTTGCTTGCTAGAATCGGTCAAACCAGAAAGCTCACCAAGTGACTTTTCCGGCGACGGCTGAGTGATACATTTTATCGGACTTTCGTTCATCTTGTTGAGTGACAAATTAGCATTTGGGTAATCAGAAGCTGCAGCTGGTGGGTGGTTTATGTGGATCTTGTGTTCATATAGCAAATCTGCATTTGGGTTCTCGGAAGCCGAAAATGGTGGATTTGGTGCTTCGGTGCATACGATTTGCTTCTTGTTCGGAGATTTACCCTCCTCATTTTTTGAATAACCCTCTGATTTCATATTATCAAGTGATTTGGGCCAATGGTTTGATTTCGAAGCAGCAGGACTACATATCACCTTGTCAAATAGAGATGCATCTTTCGGTGATGCCAATGCTTTCAATTGCTTCCCTAGGTTTAAGATGGTTTCTTGGCAAGCGGCAAGTTTTTCTGAAGCTGCAACTATATCACATTCCTGCAAGATCATAGAGATATAATTTTTAGTTCTTGCTAGCAAAAAAATTTCATAATCATGATATGTTATTGGTGCAACTAAAGCAATAAAGTTACAAGTCAGGTGCCACTAGTTGAGAATCAAATTCACATGACTTCAAATCACAACTTTGATTCAAGAGTGCGTAAAATCAGCATTAGTTTTACCTTCTCACAAATCTCCGCTATAAGTCTATAACTGTCATAAGTAACCCTGTGACAGTTATAATCAATTATAATCACACTAATCTAAGCCAGTACGTACAGATCGATAGACCCAGGGTGAGATAGGGTAGGATTTGGCTGATCCTTCGCAATTTTGACTGATGCGAGGTGATCCTTATAACAAATCCCTTTTGAGCATTTTTCAAGGCAACCATAGGGCTGATCCAGTTAACACATCATCAGTTCCTCTGTATTGACCACAAAACAAAGTCGTCAAGGACTGACATTAGATGGATTGTTACGGTACTGATACCTCCTCATACCAACACTTGGTCAAGATAGGTCAGCACTTACCAAACGACCTAATATCAAAATCGGGCAGCTATTCTTGATTTTTTCTGCTTTTGCCTTAATTATGTATCTTTATATATAATTTAAGAACTATTATGGTTTATATATCACATAACATCATACTAATCTTAATACAAATTTCCAGTAATAAGAGCTATCAAATATTGAACTCATATAACTATATTAAAATTTATACTGCACAGTACACACCAATATGACATGCCTAATCAAATAACAAAACAAATGTTATGGTGCATTAGGAAGTGTGTTATGTGGTTGCAGGAGGTCAACATGATAATTTTGCAAAATCTAGTATTGAAATTGCCCTGAAGGCATATATAATATTGATAATATGTGTGCCACACTAGTGGATTGGAATAGCAATAGTCTTCTAACTAATTTCTACAATTAGTATGTGGGATTGCCCCTAGCAATAGGATCTAAATCATCTTTCACAAATTGGGAATCAAATGAGTCAACCTCAGCCTCCTCTCTTTCTATACCAAGTTAGGTGTTGTAACTGCAAACACATATTATAATACATGTAAACCAAATTCTCCTAACATTTGTACATGCTGATGATACAAAGTTTTATGTGAATCAAGGAACTGGACCATATATTTTTAACGGCTGGATGATATGATCTACAAGAAGACTCACCTAATAATTTTCTTTAAATTAGATACTGATCTTCCATAATGTAGCCACCATTAAACTATAAAGTTGTGACAAGAATATGCATCAATAATATGTTTATTTCAACAATACTAAATTAATATAACCTGAAGAGGTTATATTTAGTATTTTCTTTGCTACCAGAGTCCATGTTGTGTGGATTGAAAATAACAATGTTCCTAGAACCGTTGGAAATACATGCCACATAAAGCTAAGTTCGTACATCCATAAGTGACTTAAAAATGTGGAAAACCATAGCATCATAAAGCATTTTAACTTACTATGGCAGCAGCTGAACTTTTAATATTTGATTTATCAAATTGATGATAGTGCTAAAGTAGAAAACTACAACAAACTAAACTAAAATTTCTTGGTAGGTCTGACGAAGATACATGTGTTTATCTTGATGAGTTTAGTCTGGATCCACCAAGTTCTTTGTGGCTCCAACCAAGACCAAGAATCTAACAAGATCGGCTAGCGAAATCTGCCAAGATTCGCAAGATGAATCTACCAAGATCCTTGATCTTGGCGGTTTCAGCCAAAATGTTCACAGATAGTGTAGACCTATGCTAGAAATGGGAAGATCTGATTTAAACAATAAAAGTAAGGCTTCAAAACAAATTTATGCAGACATGTAGTTAAATAAGAATGAACCTAACCATGAAATCATGAGAAAAACATAAAGACATGTAAATTAAACAAGAATGGTGATTTAAAAGTAAGATAAGAAATAATACTATAGATTTAGCCTCAATTTTGAGTTTACCCTAGATTGGAGAAATAGCTAATCTTCCATAAGATCCTAGCTTAATTTGGATGAGAATTAAGACTCCAAGATTGATTTGACAAAGCAGGAGAATGAGAGGCTGAAAGAGAGTGAGAAAAGAATGAGAGGAGAAAGGAGGTCTCAGGTGGGAAAAGAGGTGGGATGGGCTGGAAATTAGACCATAGGCATACCACCTGGTTCGGTGGATGTACCATTCCAAAACCACATGGTATGCCTGGTTCAATCAACTTACTGAGCAGTACGGCCAGTATAAACTGGTACCGCCTCATAAATTGAGTTCTGCACCCTGTTTTGGTTTCAACTGGTAAAAATCCAGTTGGTTTTGAAGACCTACATTCATAACCCCAGACCAAGTAATTATTACCCATTTCTCATTTACAGTGTACCCGTAACTGCAAAATAAGATCAATTTACATTAATAAATTATATAACTGCAGATAACATGCAAATTTGTAAATTTGAGCTTCGTCTCAATCAGCATAAAATAACATATTGACTCAGTTAAATGAATAAAACTATGGACAATGCCTTCCAAATATTCTCACTTCTGCTTTCAGGAATACTGTAAATGAGGCAGTAAGATTAATATAGTCTTTTAACTCAGAAAGTGATTTAACAGAGCTTACTGCTTGGATTTTCTTTTCTTCTGGGCGCATATCTTTGGAAGTTTCTTTCGATGAAGCACTGTGTCAAACAAGATTAAAGATCTCAGATGGCATCTGCAGAATTTTGAATAAAAGAGAGCACACAAAATAGATTGTTCACACCTTTCTAACTGAAGCTGTAGTTCAAGACAGGTTGCCTCTAATTCTTCACAGCAATTACTTTTTTGTTCCAGCTCAACTTCAAGGGCTGAGAACTTCTGACGAACCTCATTCAACTCAGCCTTTGAAACTGTTAGTTGTGTTTCTAGGTCTTCATTAGTCAAATTTTGGCTTATAATCTGGTCTTCAATCTTTACCTTGGATTCCTTAAGTCTTGCTAGTTCTGCTTGTAAATTGGAAATGCTTTCTTCTGATTCGTGGATCTGAGCTATCAATTCTTCATTCTTAGCACTAGATGTTTTAAGCATTACCTCCAAATCATTCTTTATAGACTCCATACCCATGATCTCATGTTTCAGTCGTTCATTTTCGTCTCTCAGTTTGGATTCAATATCTTCCATTCTGGATAAGATGTATAGAGCATTTGTTGAGGATGAAGGTATATTTCTCTCTTCGGAAATAGAGGATTCTTCATGTGTATCTAACTTATCTATATCCTTGGTTGTGTATGTTAGAGCTTTTAGTTCATTGTCATTACTGTATGATGAATCTGCATTCATGTGCTTCCTGACAGTCTCTTTCATGTCTGAAACATCTTGAAGGGAAAAACAGTGGTTTATAATCCAGTCCAGAGTTGAAGTTACTTCAGCGGTGAACTGTTGAAGATCAACCTTCCCATGCAACAGATCATTACATACAGCAACAAAATTCTCTAAAATAGTAGTGAGTTCAGAACCTTCCCAAAGAAATGCACGAGCAATGTATCTATTTGCTAAAGAAGCACCTTCATTGTCTATAGATAATCCATGTCGACCATTTTTACTTTTAATATTTCTCTGAATGATTCCCTCAACCAATTCAATAAGCTTGAGGACAGGTTTCTCCAAGACTGACTGACAAAGTTGGATACTGTTTTTACTGTTCACTAGGTGTGTACTGATTGCTCCATCAAATGTATCTGATGAAGTGTTTTTAGGTTGCTGAGGTAATTTGTCATTGCAGTGTAGGGTATTTGAATATTTTGGTTCAATAGAACCATCCCAATCACCCAGAGCAGCTCTAACATCATCAAGAATGGCATTTAAACTTTTTTGCATAATATGGTGCTTTTTTAAAATGACCCTTAAAATATCCTGTAGCCAAATAGGATAGTTTTCTAGTGACAACTCCTTAACTTGAGTTTCATTGTTTGTTTCACCGAAATGAGAGAGATCCTTGATTGCAACAAGCTCCTTATCTGTTTCTTCTGATAGATCAGGTTCTGTACAAGATTCTTTAGTGGCCACACATTCATTGTTATCTCTCAACGTACTGAATGAACTTTCAAAATGTTTATCCACAGTAATTACTGCTAGTTTCTCCATCTCAACAAAATCATCCATCAAACTTAATTCTGATATTCCAACACTTTTGCATGATGGTGAAGTGAGTTTTCCACATTTGAAATGCTCCAGCTCAGAAATTAAAGCAGAAGCCCATGATTCAGCACAACTAACATTATCTTCATTGCCACCATTCTCCGAAATTGATGAAAGTGGAAGGTCATGAGACACTGGGCTGCTCTTTGCTAGCTCAAAGCATGCTTGTCCTTTTGATAATTCCTCGAGTTGTGTCTCAACCTGTGATAGTTTGGATGCCGTACGAGCAAACATGATACGTGATGCCTGAAGTTCATTGTTTTTCTTAGTCAATGATTCTTTGAGAATCTTGTTCTCGTCTTGAATTGCACGTAATCTCACAACAAGAGATGTCATATCTTTGCTTGATGTATCATAAAAGTTCTCTAACCCAATTTCTGTCCTTTTCTTTCTTGTTTCAATGGCATATTCACTCAGAATTTCAACCTCATTTCTCATTTTAGCTAAAGCTGCTGGCCCTGGTAGTCGCTTCCGGACCATGACACGCAATTTTTGGCATTCTGTTTCCAGCTTAGCAATCTTTTTAATGCTCTCTAGGTGTTGCCTATGAGCAGCATCAGCTGATCTCCGATTGAATTCTCTCTCCTCATTTCGAATCTCAATCTCCTTCTGAAGAATGCAGACCTCATACTTCAGAGATGCATTGAATTTCTCTGATGAATCAAGTCTGGTTATTACTTCTGTTAATTTTGATTCTGACTTGGATATAGACTCGCTCAATTCTTTAAGCAACTGTTCTTTGACCTCTATAATTCTATTCAGGTTGCCATTTTCAATAACAAATTCAGTGAGCCTCTTATTTGTCCCAATCAACCTCTGTTCTAACATGCCTATCTTCTCCTGTTCTCTTGATATTTTGAAGGCAGCATTGTTAATGAAGAGCTGCTGGTCTTGCTTAACAACACGTAGTTGTTGCATGCATTCTTTTAATGCCACATCTGTTTCAATTACTCTTTCTTCGGCACTTTTTTTCTGAAATAAAGCATCGTCCAATTGTTGCTTTAAATAAAGTGCCTGAGCTTCTGCTTTTTCCCATCCTAACAAGTAGAGCATGGTGAACTTGTAAGGCAAAAAGGAACATGTAGAAATCTTTCATTTTATGTGAATTTAGTGTCCTATGCAAAACTTCAGAAAAAAATGTTAAACCTGCAATTGCTTCCTCAGTTACTTTTGCTTGCTTCGCCAAAAGATCATCTTTAGCATTGGACTCAGTGCGAACAGATGATAGTTGTTCATTTAAGTCTTCTAAGGATCTCTCTAACTCAAGGGCCTTCTCTTTCTGAATACAATCATCAACAAATATAGAATGACTCCAATCATAAGAAAGGAACGACATTTTTTCATTGGAGACAAAATAGTTTGATATTTCTTGGGATCAGACAATAATATGTATTTTTAAGTGTCAACTATCTAATAGTGACTGAAAAGAGAAATGAGAATTACTCTAGTGAATAAGTGCATTTAAGCAGATAACCATCAGGACAGCTATGAACTTAAGCTTGATCTATCAATCCAAACTCCTACTTCCTCTCAGTTCCATATTATTGAATCTCCTGAAATCTTCAGTAAATTAATTCCAGTCAATTGATACTAAATTGTAACCATTATGGATTAACTCTTTTAATCTTTAATAGAACTTCATCGAATTGCTGGAACCTAATTAGGCTTCAATATATTTCAAAACTAGAATATATTTTTTAAAATATTTTATTGTATTTCAGATCATCTAAGTGCAGTTTCCTTGTCAATCTTTCCTAAATCAAGTTGCTTTTGTTCTAAATTGGAGGTAATTAATAATTAATATTTGACTTTACTTAAGTAATTTGGACTCTAACTCCTATTAATAAACATATTATATATATATATATAATATATATATATATAATCAGGGTTTGCCTTTTAGGTACTGGACCCGTTTCGGCAATCTACTAGAATGGTACGTACTTGTACTGATGTACCAACACAGTATACTAGTGCATACCGGTGTTTCGACAAGGAAGAAAAATAGGGTAAAGAGGAATAGAGGAGGAAGAAGGAAGAAGAAGAAAGAAGAGGAAGAGAAGAAGTACAGTGATAGCATACCTGGAAATCAAGGACAGCAGCGACAGCGTCCAAGTGGAAACGACAGCATCACAGCAGTGAAGAGGCAACACTGTTATAGTATCGCAGTGGCAAAGAGGCAACAACGAGGGTTGCGACATCGTACGTTAGAAAAGGACTCACAAACTTGCTTTTTTTTTTTCTTTTAACGTTGAAATGGATTGGGGCCGATCAATTTTAATTTTTACTATTTTAATCAGACTGCTTGAAACGGGGGTGGTCTACATATCAATCCACACCCAAACCCGTACACACTGCCCATGTCATACCGTTTCGAGCAGTACAACAATTATATATATA